TTGTAATGTCTAGGGGGGGGGGACGGGCGTCCCCGCAGTCTCCGTGACAATCCCCCATAGGCATTGCTTATCTGATTGTGTTATTTGGTTGCCGTCTCATCGCCTCGCTCATTTTTCTTCCTCTATCCGTTCACCCGATCCGCTTGTAACCTACAGGTCTTGAGTTGAGCTGGTGATGATACATGTACATGCTGTCATTGAGATAGGTATACAGTATCGTCGACTTGTACTCAAAAGGTATGAAGTAGGAAATACAGACAAAGGTATCATTTGTAGAGGTTCATCTTCATTTACTATATTGTTTAATGATTGAATTTCTTTATCTTTTATCTGTTTTAATAATTAACTATTGAAAACGTATTTTTAATTATCTATTTAATTATTCAATTGTTCTAAACATGGTGACAATAACTGCGAGCACAATTAGTTACCTCGGTGCAGATTGCACAGCTCTATTGCAATTGAGTTATTACGACGACGATGTTAATTATGTTATGAAAACATTGCTAAGAGATAACTTTATAAATAGTTTGATTTGTTGGATTTCATATAGAGTTAGTTTTGGTTTTAACGCACGGAGGAATCTATCACAAGTTTACAAGCAACTAGCAATGCAATTAAACTGTTTTGTTATCATTCTGTTATCAAACAAATACCTCTCTTCGCATCATGGTGAAAAATTAAGCAAATGACCAGACTAACAGGGTGTACAGGAATAACGTATAAGAACAACAATGAAAGATAACGATCCTTGGCTAAAACTAAACCATAATCATTTGAATCCCGCTCGCAGTGACGTCACACCGCTGCGATCTTGTTTAATTGTCATTAATTAAAACACGGAGCTGAAAGTAGATGAAATCATGACGCGCCATGACTCAGTCTGGCCTCATCACAAAGATCTTTGTGAACAATTTTTTTAAGATTAATGTATCACCATACAGTAATGCATCTGTGTTAAACAATCGCTTATTCTATGAGGTGAATGTAGGTTGCACAATTGACAGGTCAGTGCAGCTGTCGTACCAGTGTCGAGGTCTAAATGCAGTGCGGCATTGCGCGCCGCCGCTGTGGATATGTCATGCTCTACGAAGTACTCTTCGTAGCGCACCTCCAGCAGGCCTGCAGCTTGCCCGCTTGCCTCCTGCCCCTCCGCAGCCAGCCCGCCCGCCTGCCCATCCGCCTTCCCGCTTGCAGGCTCGGCGCTGTCCCGGCCGCCAGTGCCCACCGGGCGCGCCGCCGCCGCATGACGCACCTGCACACAATCAATGCATATTATACAAACCTAAACGAAGCAGAACATTCTCGTATTCATTGATGTAGTTACGTATAGTTATGTATAAAGGGAAGAGGCAGAATAGAATTCGTACAGGAGTTTAATTAAATAATTACTGATAGAAAAATTTGAAAACGCAAAATAAGTTATAGAAGGAGAGCTTATCGAAAGGAAGATTGAAAGAAAGACTTACAGAGCCCACAGTGTTGGAGAAAGTTTTTGTGGATCTAAATTCTAAACAAAAGTTACCAGCACTTCAGGTACCCTAAAGACGAGGTCGGCGACGGCGGCGCGCGCCAGCACCACCAGCAGCACCAGCAGCACCAGTAACGCCGCCGCCAGCCCGCGCCGCATCGCGCCCCGCACCCCGCACTCCGCACCGGTCAAGTGTTTCTTGTTTTCTACAAACATAACCAATAATCAAAAACCACAGAGTCAAGCATAACATTCAGAAACGTGAGTACCAAAACGTTCAAAATTACAAAAACTAGTTATTAGGAAAAAAGGGTAAAATATGGAAAAGGAATTATGGCGCTCCGAGAACCGAACCTCAATGACACAATCCGTACAAGCTATTTAGCATCCAAACAATGTTGTAATTAGAGGCGAGTCAGGTCGGGTCGCAAGTCGCGATGACTTCCGCGCGGCGGCACCATTGTATCTACCTGCCCCGCATTCACGCAGGGCATCGCCTGCAGCCTGTCGCTACTCTCTATACGCTATGGCTAGTAATGCTCACTGAATTGGTCCAATGACATTCGATGGCGTCCCATGGCGTTCTACGAATGCATGCCACATGTTATATATTCGCGTGTGGCCACATTGCCCGCGATTGTTCGAAATAATCCTAATTTGTATTCAATTACAAGTATAGTAGTAAAACAATCTTACTAATCTTACTAATATTATAAA